TTGTGCGTGTTTTTTGAAGCATTTTTCGAGGGGGCCATGGAGGTACAGCGCACTGAAGGGGAGGATGTACTAGTTGTCGACACGCAACAGCCTGAGCAACTCTTCAATCGACACGATACACAAGTCCGACATACCAAGTATCAGCGACGCAAGTGTGTGCAGATACTAGGTGCAGATGTTAAACAGGTAATAAGGCGAACCTACCATTCGAGGTGTGGCAGTAGACTTCAAGTTTATCCCATCCGACTGCCATCGTGATCTTCGCCTATTAGTAGTTCCACGTATCAACTTCTCTTGCCTTCCATTAGATTGATTCAGAAACAATGATCGGTTGATACAATATCGTCACAGCATCGAAACCGTCAATAAAGATCAGGATTCCAGGATGTGACTCGTCGAGATGAAGACATAGCTATAGTCCAAGTTCCTGTACCCTCTTCTAGGGTAAGTAAGTAGAGACATGGAGCATACCGAAGGAAGAATAAACGGCAAGTTCAACGAACTTCCCGGGTGTTGCCGAAATAATTCTTCTCAATATACTGAGAAGCAGACTCGGTCCTCGGACTCCACGACAATTGCAATCTCTTGTCTCCTGAGACGCTGTATACTTCTCTTGTCTGCCTGTACCACCAAGCACAGCCCTTCGCCTTCAAGCTTCCAGCACCTGCCACCAGTAGCCGTAGGATTGATGTATCAGTCCTTATCATGATAGCGCAACAGAAAGTTGTACATTAATGTGGTCGTTCTGCACAGTGAGGTGACTTACAGCACTTATCAGATATCTCGGAGTGGCAGCACTGTCATTTACACAGTGAGGATTAAGGCTTTCTACACACCCACTGACTTGTTTGAAGTCTGTCCTTGAGTTTCATGTGGTGCAAGGAGCTTGAAGTTGCAAGGTCGCACCAAGGGCATGACATTTCGTGACCACTGACCAGTGATCCGATACAGTGGTAAGTTCTCCTGTATGACTATCATCACACGAGGAACACTTGCCTGAACTTGAACTTATTCACCTTAGAATCTTATCCCGTCCCGTTTGTCGTGGTGCTAGAAGCTCTGATGTGTCATTTTTCAGATACTGCCGCGTCGCGAGTGCCAATTCTATGGGAAGTTTTGCCATCTGTATTGTGAGCTGCCGAGTTATTCCCCGAGTGATATTTACATACTGTGTTGCCAGCGAAATTGGTTCGGGCAATCCATAATTCCATAATCATGGTGTCTTCCTCAACGCAAGGCCTCATCACACAAGTTGAGCTCGAGAGCACGTATGGAGCACTTTCATTGGGGCCATTATTGCAGCGATCATGATGTGAGTGAAGTTCGAACTATCCGCTTGCTTTTCGGACGAAACTGACGCCATCTGTGTATCTTTCTTATCAGTCTTTTTGATTTAACCAACGTTCAAGTTTTACTACGATGTATGACCAAGATGGGGAGTTTGCAGCTAACTGGATAGACGTTGACAAAATCGAGAGTTTCGTAAACTTTTTCAAGCTTTCATGTCATTGAATTTCGCGCCAACATCCAATATTTGACATTCGAAATTCTGTAAATACATATAGGCAATGTGAAAGAAAAACATCGATGCGAGATAACAAGGGGAACCCGATCGACATCAAAGTATTAACAATCTTCGATCAATGTTCAATATTTTAACACTACAAATTTTGAAAATACACAAGCGACATGAACAGAGCAAGATAACAAGACAGCGTGGCATTGGGTACATAAAATCGACAGTTTCAGGCCTGGGACTGAGATGACTCTGTAGCTTCGATGAGGCGTTCCTTTGTGCGTAGGTCAGGTGCCGAATACACGAAAGTCATTGAAAACACACCTCTGCGAGTCTCTGCCCTTCGGATAACATAAGGACGCAGGACCGTAAACCCTTCAAACACCATTGCCTTTCAAGCCAGGAGAGGAGGCAGCGATTCCAGAAGAGCTTGAATACACAGTTGAGCCTGTGGTCCGTTGGACCCGGAGCTCGCGAGAGATGGAAGACCCAGTTTTGACATGCATACTTCAGGGCGTCAGAAGATAATCGACTTTGATCTCGTGATTCATTTGCGAAAATCGTGAACGCAGTCATAGTATGGATGACCTCGATATCTGGACAATCTTGCAGGGATGTAGAGGTAGAATGATCCTGGGGCCTTAGCGCCAGGAATGCCGGGAACATCAAGAAATCTGGTAAGCTCTTGAACTCCTGGACTACTTGAAAGGCTGGCGGGACAGGCAATCGTGGGATGATTGCGCTGATTGCTTCCAATGTGCCCGAAAAGTCTTCCATTGTCACCCAGACAGACGCTGTAGGAGTTAACCGCCATGCTTTACCATGGGGGTCTGGAGCTACTCTTGTCCTCTCTCGGTCTGCAGCCATTCTCGTCCACCCATGGTCGGGCGTAGCTATTTTGACGCAGTCCTGCCGCGGTCGTGACGCGGCGTGATGCGCATGTGACGCAGCACTGACGCTTCATTAGGAATTCCGAGATACACATTCTATCCCCTGTGAAGTTGGCCACCATCCAAACCCCACTGCTGGTCGCCTGCAGGTCCTGCTTCTTCGGAATCCTCGAACATCCTTGCTTCTAGTGCGGTCAGACACTGTTCAACAGCATGCTATCGTTCCATTCTTCGTTTCGAGCTTCGATCCGTAGTAAAATAAATTTATTATTGCCTATGGACAATTACAGTGTACGACATCTAATTCTGTCAGGATGAAAGGGAACACTGTTGGAATATCAATTATTATGACAGATGTAAAGTAAAATATACCTAAGTTATACGGACAGTGTGACAGTTGAGGTGGTGAGGTCTGACGCGGCATGAATGAAGTTTGACGTGGCAGTGACGTGGCGTGACGCGCGGGTGATGCGGCAGTGACGAGGTTTGACGCGGCGTGACGCGCCTGTGACGCGGCACTGACGCGGCATGGAGGAGGTTTGACACGGCAACCGACGCGGCACAACTTGTTTGACGCGCATGTGACATGGCAACTGACGCGGTATGTGCTATGTTTGACGCGGCACTGTAGTAGGCCTTGATGCGGCATAGAGTGTGGATGTTGATATTAGTACAGAGACTGCGAAGATATTTTGGAGAACTTGTCGTGGTGTGAGTAGTGCTTGACGCAGCCTAAACGAGGCTTCTGACATGCCATGGTTGGGGCTTGACGTGGTGGTGCAGGGTATAGAGAGTGGATCAAACTTGGCAGGGTGATGTCAAAGCTTGACGCAGTGAGACAACATTTGACACTGCATCTGAAAACCAACATAAATGAACGAATTAGAGGTAATGCAACAATATAGGACTGACGCGCAAGATGCATACTAGTAGTATGAACGCAGAGGACAAGCACTGTAAATTTGGTGAGAGGTGAATACAGCACTATAGAGCCTGTACGCAGGCAGACACTCATATGTTGATCATCAACGACGATTCAAAGTGTTTGGAATGCGATATGAAGTTGTGTAAACATGATCTGTACGTAGGAATTTGTTACAGTGCCACGTCGCATATGCCGCGTCAGTGCCGCGTCACAGGCGCGTCACGACCGCGTCAATTTCACCTGGCCCTGCCCCGCTGCGGTCGTCCATAGGCGTCAGCCTTTGAGATGCGATTCTATTGAGTATAGTATGAATTGGTGCATATAAAATTAGGGAATTATGTCCATGCTCCACGACAAACACGTTGTGACACTCACTGTATGAAATACCTTCCAGTACCGCTAACATTAAAGTGTCCATATCCGAGGAGATATCAGCCATGGCGGGGAGATGGTGTGTGCATCGAATGTTATATAAATGATTGCATTGGGTGCAAATCTGCAGGTGACCGAGGTGGGACTTGATCTAGTGGTGGCATCAGATCGCTGTATTGGCAGTATTGCATGGAAACATGGGAGGAAGAATAAATGGTTCCTGAACTTCCCGGGTGTTGCCGAAATTCTTCAGTTGTGAATCCTGATCAAGAAGCAGACTCTCGGACTCCACGGAACACGACACTGTAGCAATTGCAATCTCTTGTCTCCTGAGACGCTGGATCCTGCATGTATATCTCTCTTGTCTACCTGCACCACCCAGCACATTTCTCCGCCCTTAATCTTCCAGCACCTGCCACCAGTAGCCGTAGAATTGATGTATCCGAGCGCAACACAAAGTTGTACACATCAATGTGGTCATTCTGCATCGTGAGAGTTACAGCACCTATCAGATGTATCGGAGTGGCAGCACTGCCAATTACACAGTGAGGATTAAGGCTCTCTACACCCACAATGATTTGAGAACGAAAATTAATCCCCCCCCCCAACAAAGTCATGTTGTTCACCTCTTCCAGTTGTGCATGCTGCCGCAGACTTCACCCGATTTTGATGGCTTCCTTCAACCTTCTGTCCATCTGAGGATTCGAAACTGAGAACCCGTTGTGGTTCAATATGGTTGGTTGACCTACGGTTCAAAAGTCTTGCAGTCAGCTCGATATGTGCCATATGCACATATCAGTACCTTGCTACGCACCAGTCCGCATGCATAATCTTGGCAAAAAAGATGTGCGGGAAGCGGGACGCAACCTTGCGTCTATGGAGCTATTACGATCACCATTCTTTCTATTCTCCAGTGCTACCAACTTTCATCCTGGCCACCCTGGCATGCTATGATGCTGACCGTCATCTGAGTCTCACACAAACCAACACACCAACTTCGATGTATCCCTAGTTTGATACGCAGGAAGGCTTCCTGCGAAATCTGGGGGTGTCATGTGGAAATCATGCGCTGGCAGTGACAGAAGCAGGAAGCAGGAAGAAGGAAGGTTAAGGCACTTGATGACATTCTAAAGACCTGCATTAACATATTATCATTATGTAGCCATGCCGAGCGCTCTTCGAGACGGTTTATATGTAAAACATTGTCACATTCGATTGCCTGGCCATAGAGTCACCACATCAAGGCGACCTCGCGCCGCATCATCGAATTATTATCATCACTGTGTGACCAACTCAAATGCGTCGTCCCACTAGACGTTCAAGCCGGCACCGGAACTCGTTGATTTTACTGCCGAGCGAGGTCATCCGTCGAATTTTGTCAAACCTAGATTGGAGAGCTTTATTAAGGCTAAAACTCGTAGGGTTTTCTGAGACTGTATCTACCTCAGTACTCACACCTACTGTTAGGTATGCAAATTTCTCTGCTCGGTGGTGGACGAAAGTCCTTCTGTCCAATATACCATTGAGTTAGCTGTATGCGGCATGGAGGATGGTGCACGAACACGACTCTCTGCCGCATCAAAACTTGCATTGCTCAAGGAGCGCAATGCCGCCTGGGAGGCATTGCAATGGGCAGAGTCACAAGACTTAACACTGCCCCAGAGTGACAATATGGCTTGGGAATTGTGCGCAGGCGTGTATGCACAGTTTAGTGTGCCGGGCGCTAGTACTATGTGCCTGTATCGACTCCCTTCGCAGTACCGCAACATTCCAGCCAGTTCATGGAGGATACCCTTACTTAGTGACACCAAGGACTTCACAATGGATCCCTCTCAAGATCTCCTGGTGCTCGTTGAGAAGCCTATCCTGATGTATGTTTCTTTTCTGGCGCATGTTCTCTGATTCTGAAACAAGCCTACAGTCCGGCCCACAATAAGACAAAGTCTTATATACGGATTCAGATACACCCACGATCCCTCACCACTGGACATAGACATTCATCTGCGGTCGAAGTCATTGATCATCATCTGTATATGCGATCATCATCTGACAAACTGGAAATGGATCTCAGCATCCAAGCATGCGAAAAGCTGCTCGGTATTTTAATCATTGTCAAGGACAATATATCAGAGCTGATGGTGTGGAACTGGCGAACAGGTCTGGTCATACTGGTAAGTCAAGTTAAAGTTGAATCCGTGTTGCCTGTTACTATCCTGATATCTATTTTAGAGATCCTCCAGTCTCGAGATTGGCACCTTTGCCTTCCTCACGCCTCAACTTCTGTTAGTGGGAACGGTGATGCACGAGACTGGAGTCACGGAACCTCGACTTTTTGTTCTGGACATATCAAAACCTTCCATCAACAAGGTCGCCCTCACCGATTATGTTTGCGTTTTTGAATTCCCATCTTTTGACTTTGTGGTTAGTCCCATGAAGATCGTAATTCGCTCTGACCCATCGCCCGAGTGGAAGCATAACCCAGAGGCACATGTTCCCTTCTCCATAGCACGTGGACAACGACTCTTCCTCATTACCACTTGGGTTGAAGAGAAGAAGAAAAATGTCTCATATGACCTATTCGTACCAGCAAACATATTGTTATCTTCTGTCATGGCCCTTACTCCACAGACTCGTCGACGTGTTATCAACTGGAACGAGTGGGGTCCCACAGGTACCCGCTTTTTGAAGTCCCCACCTCACTCTCATGTCTGGACCGGATATGTGTTTGGAAGCAGATTCATTTCACTCGTGACATCACCCAAAGCCACTGCAGGTCGACACTCGCAGACCTTACAAATCTGGGATTTCAACCAACTTGCGCTGAAGCGAGCCGCAGCATTGGGCTTTGAGAAGGAAAACGTGCGTCTTGTAAACGACACGACAGTCGTAGAGGACGAGATGTTCGTTGAGAGGGTCCGTACGAGCCTTCCTTACTCCATTACCACGCGCACACTTCCTCCTCCTCGCTCCCCCGGAGAACCGACATTCACTGACACCATGATCAGTGAAGATAGTATTTTCCTTCTAAAGGTGAGTCTCCTAACTTCATTTTGTGTTTTTCACTGACCTTTTCTCTTTCTTCTCACTGTAGTATGAGGGTCATCACCGTCACCTTCGCATTTTGACTTTTTGAACGCTGGAGAATGGCTCTATTAACGACGGCTAGATTTCGTTCCCGGCCAAGTGATTGTCTTCGTGCGAAATTTTGGATATACAGATCTGCAGCGTCTTCATAGGGTAATAATTATTGCAAGGTCCCCTGCCAGTGTTCCGTCTCATCCGAGGCTGTCGTATTCTAGAAGTTGAGAAGGCAGCCTTTGAGATGCGATTCTGTTGAATACAATACAAACTGGAGCATGTAAAAGTAGGGAATTATCTCAGTTTTTTGTCCATACTCCATAACAAACACGTTGCGATACTCATTGGAGACATGATGGGAGCATACTGAAGGAAGAATAAACGGCAACTGAACTTCCGGCCCCGCATAGGCTCAGGTATTTCGCCGCATCACTGCCGCACCACACCGAAACAAACATCCAACGCTCATTAATCATTTCCGACAGCTACTCTAATCACACACAAGATAATTGACCTAGCAGTATTACTCGTCCAACTCATCAACTATGCGCCTCTCGGACATGCCTTCGAGAGGCTGAATTTAGAGGACGTGTTGGGCGTGTTGCGGCACGGATGCGGCAGTGGGCGCGGCAGCGTCCTAGTACTAATATACCGTGCATATTGTACGAAAGCCCAAACCAAGGCCACGGCCAAGGAAGGTACATGGAAGTACTTGACGTACGCGAGGATGAGCATGCTGTTGTGCTCGCCTATGACTGGGTGCGTGATATCTATCAATTTATATGTGAGGCGACGATGTCAGCGAACGAGCGGGCTCGGCCTGAAATGAACATACCTCGCATTCCATACTAAAAGTGCTTTCCTTGACGTGCGAGGCTCTTATTTGGCACCTGAACGCATGGTTGTGAGTCCATATACTGTATGATGAGGGCGCACACGTACACATTTGTCCTTGGTCAGACCACTGAGAGCCCACTCGTCGAACTCCGGAGGAGCGTCTACAGCAGTCGCATGTACATTCTCGACGAATGCTTCGCTGATGATGTTCATGGTGAGTTCTTGGCCGTTCTTCAAGTTGGTAGCCGTGTCCTTCAGGCAGCCCGCAGCGTTGTGGTCTTCTGGCGGGTAGTAAGGTTGATTCCATCTGGCGGTGAAGACCAAGTGCCAGGAAAGACTGCAGAGGTGCACGAATTGCTGAGAACAATGCACACCATGGACAATGCTGCAGGTAAGAAGGATGCAAATTGGTGGCAGGTGCGGTGCGGTAGTGCACAGCCACCAAATCTCAGAATTGCCGCACCCTGCCTCGGGCTGTTGCACAGGACTTTTAAAAGGGTCAGTATTGGACTAAAGTTCGACTTGGAGAATGTCGAAGTTGGATTCAAGACCTATGGACGCGTACCGTCGATCATGTATTGTGTACCAATACAAATAATACTCCAAGAAAGGATGCTGTCATATAAATGAAGGAAACAACCAAACGAAAAAAAAAAAAAAGACAAAGGATGGTGTAATATCTACTCATCATCACTCGGCGTCAGGCAATCATCATCGCTGATCACTTGTTTGCGACCAGCACTCCGAGCTCTGCCCCGCTGCGGTCGTCCATAGGCATCAGCCTTTGAGATGTGATTCTATTGAGTATGATACGAATTGGTGCATGTAAAAGTAGGGAATTATCATATTATGACCATGCTCCACGACAAACACGTTGTGACACTCACCGTATGAAATACCTTCCGGCACCGCCAACATAAAAGTGTCCGTATCCGGAGGGATGTCAGCCGTGGCGGGGAGATGGTGTGTACATCGAATGTTGTACAAGTAATTGCATTGGGTGCAAATCTGCAGGTGACCGAGGCGGGACACTGAAGGAAGAACTTCCCGGGTGTTGCCGAAATTCTTCTTTCGTGGCTAGAAGCAGACTCCGAGTCGGACTCCAGAACTCCACGGATCACGACATAGCAATTGTAATCTCTTGTCGCTCCTCCATGCATACCTCTCTTGTTTACCTGCACCACCCAGCACATCTCTTTGTCCTCAAGCTTCCAGCACCTGCCACCAGTAGCTGTAGAATTGATGTATCATGATAGCGCAACAAAAAGTTGTACACATTAATGTGGTCATTCTGCACAGTGAGGTGACTTACAGCACTTATCAGATGTCTCGGAGTGGCCGCGGCACTGCCATTCACATGGTGAGGATTAAGGTTCCCTACACACCCACTGACTGGTCTGAAGTCTGGCCTCAAGTTTCATGTGGGTACAAGGAGCTTGAAGTTGCAGGGTCGCACCAAGGGCATGACATTTCGTGACCAGTGATCCGATACAGTGGTAAGTTCTCCGGTATGACTATCATCACACGAGGAACACTTGCCTGAACTTGAACTTATGCACCTTAGAATCTTATCTCGTCCCGCTTGTCGTGATGCTAGAAGCTCTGATGTGTCATTTTTCAGATACTGCTGCGTCACGGGTGCCAATTCTATGGGAAGTTTTGCCATCTGCATGGTGAGCTCCCGAGTTATTCCCCAAGTGATATTTACATACTGTGTTGCCAGCGAAATTGGTTCTGGCAATCCATAATCATGGTGTCTTCCTCAACGCAAGGCCTCGTCACACAAGTTGAACTCGGGAGCACGTATGGAGCACTTTTTATTGGAGCCATCATTGCAGCTATGTGAGTGGAGTTCGAACTATCTGCTTGCTTTTCGTACAAAACTGACACCACCTGTGTGTCTTATCAGTCTTTTTGGTTTAACCAACGTTCAAGCTTTCATCTACTTTCAGACGCATAGGGACACAGGCAGAACATTCTTTAAGCTAGTCGTGCGTCCATGCTGCCTTCTTTCCAGCTCTGTATTTCACGCTATATCAACAGGTCCTCTTATTGTGGTAAGTCTTCCTTCGAGTTTGACTTGTCGAACGCGTGACATTCATGCCACACCATGAACTTTTACAGGATACTTGATGCTTTTCACCTGATCTTCATCGTTCATTGCATCTACTATTATTTAGTGACCCACTTCGCCAACATTGGTGCACTCACAGAAATTGTATGGAGTTTCAAAGTGAGTTTTTCATGTAGCTTCTGTCATCATATCGATAAACTCGCGCAGCTTCAGATAATATTTGACGTAGGTCGTGTTTCCTGAACTTTGATCCGCCTCAAGTACGCACCCCACAGGTCCCCATCATCCATGGGGTACAACTGTAAGTATGATGTGCAGTATCACATACAATGTAATACTTCCTGATTTTATAGCCTATATGCCCATCGTATATGGACAGGTATTTGTTCTCTTATCTATGGAGTGGATACACAATTTATGGACCTAGTCAGCAAGGGCCGATCAAGAGTTCTCCCGATTACAGCGGTGGGTTTTTTATAGACGTTCACGTCTTCATTTCGGAATTTGATGATGTTGCACTACATATTAGGGCATATTCGCGGTCTTAAGTTCAAGTGAGTTCATCGCCCTGAAATATTTCTCAATCGTGAATCATGCCATTCAGGTGTATCCATCCGTAAGAGTTCGAAATTGCTTCTGTTGGCTCGTCATTTTTACTTTGAATGTTAACCCGGTGATAGCCCTTCTTTGGGCGCTGTGAGTAGAACAGTGGACTCTCTTACTCCACGAAGTGTTGATTGCGAGTAGATTTCAGTGTCACCTGTTCTCTGACTTGATTAGAGTCGAATGGGCGACATACATGGCCTTGACCATGATTAGTTGTGGTGATGTTCTTAATGCATCATTACTATGCTATCTCCTTGCTACCTCACGTACAGGGTTCTCTATGTAAGGGCCGAGCCGTTCGCTTCTGGAATCTGATAAGCCAAGACAGCGTCTTAGCACCGATTCTTCTATACACAAACTCATGGCTTTAATCATCGAAACTGGCTGTCTTACGAGGTGATTCTCCTTACAACCTGTTCCGTCTCTTAACTCATATTTCGTGCAGTGTGTGTTCGGTGACAGCCATCATTACAGTGAGGTTCCAGTTCCTGTGCTGTCCCTCGCGTCTCTGAGAGTCACCTACAGTGCGCATTGATGCCGAAGAACTACATCTTTCTCAGTTTTGAATGTTTATTGGCTAAATGTAAGATCAAAACACTATCAGAGGATCGTGCTGATCCATGATATGGTGTTAAGTATATGTCAACTCGTTCATCGCACTCCTGAACTCGCGATACTACCTGCAGGCCAACAGAGATAGTACCGTTTCTTCCAGATCCAATGTCAGACACAGCGTCTACCTCTCGGAGCGGTACCTTCCCTCGTCACAAGACGAGAGACTCAAAGGAGAACATTTTAATCGTGCAGATGATGAAGTAACGGCGCATCCCGCCCGACCTATCCAAGCTGGTAGTTGTGTTAGTGTCGATGAAACAGAAGCCACAGCGTCTACTTGCGGTGATAGTAGAAAGACATCATATCTTGAATTGGTATGACGGGATAGATGGATCGTGACCCGCTTATTCTTACCTATACTATGTATTGCTGTTCCGAGAACACGTTTGAGCCAAATCAGTGTGAGCAACTACTATGTCTCGGGTTCTAGATATGAGACTTGAATCAGCCCATCAATACGACAAGGGACCAGTAGCCAGCAAGACGAGATAATGGTCACGGAACTACAATGCAACTCGAGGCCCTGACCAAGTTGGATTCGCTATCTATGTAGTGGTCTCATCCGAAATATACGTAGCACGCTTGGAGCGCCATCAAAAATTTACCTAAGTACACTCAGCCGGCTTAGGCTAACCCGGACAATCATCATTCGATGACCGCATAATAATTTTGCAACTCCGAACCCGGTGACCGGTCATTACTTCCTTCAAGGCTTAGTCTGACAGCGGTAGCTAAGTACCTGCTGCGCACAGCGAAATTCGGGAAGTAATATTGCATTCATTTTCCATCATTATTCCTATCGTTGAAAATCTGACGCCTGCTGGAAGACAATCCTGAATCATAGAAGAATGAACTTTGAAGACTGCACACCACCTCAACCGCTACCAAATTTACCGATCAGTTTCAAGTTGAAGGAAATCAAACCCGGATGGTGCCTTTACGGAAGATGCAGCGCCCAGTATATAACTAAGGTTACGAGGTCCTTGGCCCTTTGTCGGAATGCTGTCTACAAGGAGAGCCATTTGGCTTTTTCTTGCCTTTGAACGGGTTCTGACTGCACAGATACCTCTGTCGAGCTATCCGCCTCTATCCTTCTACCTGGGGCTCGAAACCGATCTTGGACAGTGGGACCTTGATGACGGACCTGCGGCGAATGCGACAGGACATCTAGTGTTCGAAACGGTCAATTCTCTGCTTCAAGCCTGGCCAAATACACGTCATCGTATTGGTATGTTTAGAAATACTGAGCACCGCGCAGATGAGCCATGATTTATCATTTATGTCCTGCAGGTCATACGATAGTCCCAGGAATCATCCCCGTGGGCACTCTTCTCTACCATGGAGCCGCTGGTCCCCATTTACCGACTGCTTTGGATTGGGTGGCTGTAGAGCCAGACCACTCCATGCTTTTCTGCCGAGGATCAATCGAGAAAGGATGCTGGCACCTCACCCTTACAGTCACTCGACCGATGAAAGTGCTCTATTTTGACGGAAGCAGCGCTGCGAAACTCCTTGAGGGCACCATGGACACCCAAGATCTCGTGGCATGGTCGGAAATGAAACCCGAGTGGGTGGGAAATGAAGAGCAGCGCATAAAGGATCTGTGTAAATGGGGTGATAGATATGGGGTGAATGGCTTTGTGAGGTTCGTTATGTTAAGATGCGTCAATGCCGATGCTGATTTGCAAATTATAGGATGCAAATGAATTTGTGCGAACTCATGTAGTTCCTTGGGGATTTTTTATTAACAATAGTTACAGTGAGATCATGATCTGCAACTTCACTTCTCACATGGAGGCCGTTTCGTTCTCGAATCTCGAAAGCACTCGGCTCAAGGCAGGACATACAGATATGCCTGAGGACCCCAATACTAGTGAGCGACCGACCATGTGTATGTTTTGACGTAGGTCTGATTTATTCTCGGACATAAGTGCATTACGCTTTTGAATTAATGCATTCTTCT